AAAAACACAAATATACATATTTCCACTTGAGAATAAATAAAGTTTGTATCTATATTTGTCTCAGGATAAACATTGTATGGCTTCAACAAACTACAACAAAGAGACAAATATAATACAAATACGACAAACACTGTGAAAGAAGATTTTATCAAATTTAAAGCTCATAAAACTTGAAATCTGGATGTTATCTTTGTGCTGCAAATGATTCAAGTACAGGTTTTCTGTTACTGTCTTTCAGGTAATAACATATTTTGGGCAAAGTATCACTACCACTAAAGTGTTTACAGCTGTCAAACACCATCGAAAGTTGCACTAAATCACATCACCAAAAGTAATCACAAATGACTGAAACGATTATTAAGGCAGTAAACACTGAATGACCATCAAATAAACTTTCAACCAAAGTAAAATATGGATAAGGGTCGACTAAGATAAAAGATAACATAAAAGAAACAGAAAACATCCAAAATGAAACCATCATTTTATTGTCATACACTTTGTAAAGGATGAATGCAAATAAAAGAGCTTGTGATCAAAATCTACTCATCACTAAGCCATGAAGCATAAGGCATCATTAAATACAAGCTTCTACAATACAAGGACGGAATCAAGGAAAAGAAACAACACAGCATCAATGCTTATGCAATTAGAAGGAAAATGGAGAAAAAGAAATTTAAATGAATAAAAAACAAAAACAACACAATTTGTACATTCAAAAGAAAAAAATTCACAAGGAATATCAATATTACGGCACTTGACGATAAAACAGTCTACAATCTGTTATGTACACTTGGCACTAATGTTAGATCTTTGATTGTTGTCCGGGTCACTGTCAACTCTAGCATGTGCACAGGTCGTAACCTTTTATTTAAATGCTAGTCTATCATTTATATAATCTACAAATATATGGAAACAATCATTCTCTGAAACAAAGCTGCTGAAAGGTTTAGCAAAGCCTGACATAAAACCTCATTAGGTATTCAGATCAAACCGCTCAATGGACAACAGTTCATCAGAAAAATGCTCACATACTTTTTATATATAGTGTTGAAGGATTACTTTTTTCATAATATGAATCAATCTCCGATAGTCCATCTCATGCACTTGAAAGTTGTAAACAGTACAAATATAAATGATCCACTTACAATATTTGAATCCCAGCAATTCCAAAATAGACAGACAGACAGACTCCAAAAACAGCAGCAGATTGTTTGTATGCATTTTCCAACACTGGCAAATGTGTATATGATGAGGTGGAAAATGGCTATTTAACATGGCTGGATTGTCTCTGTCTACTGGATGTGGCTAGAGAGAATCAAAAGCAGTATACAGCTTGCCACAGCTTCCAACTCATGATGATATGACATAAATTTTATATAACTCTACAACATACATCTAAAATATATTATGATATAGAATATAAAGTAGAAATATGGCCCATGGTGGTCTTCAGCATTGTGATATGTCTTTTCTGATATGTTAAAGGGAAAGTTCGGTCAGATATAGGTTACTTAATTGTTGCTTTAACTTCATTATCCAAGAGGTCAGTTCACATTTTAGGTTTGTGTAAATACAATCTTTCAAGATGATAAGTTTAGGAATAATTTGTCCTCCACTGTCACCTTTTTAAGATGCGTTGTAGTCTAGAGTAGTCTAGTTAATATCAAGACAAAACAGCCTGTTTTGTTAAATAAAGTGATAATAAATGAAAAATAAAAGGCTGTAATGACCGAGTCAAAAAGCAAATTCCACAACAAAGAAATCTGCACTATGAAAGTTTGGCCAATTATTACAATGATTAATGAAGGACACTTGTTTTCTGTTCAGTTTGTACAGGGAACCTGAATAATGTCTGTACATGGTGGATAAAATCAAAACAAACTAAATCACAGGAAGTTGCCTTTACATTTCAGTCAGACAGGAAGTGACATATTGTCTGCTGAACAAATAGTTTTTAGGTGCATTCAGACTGAACACAAAGCATATTTTCACTTTATTTGTATACCTGCACTGACTGTGTGTGTGGACTGCGCCTGTCCTTTTCCTGTTTTCTCTATACACCCATGTTTTGTAAAATAAGCGGAAAGGGTTTTAATTGGATTGGAGTTGATTTTCCCTTAAAGAATAGGATTGGGACTTTTCAATTTGGTCTCAATCTTGACATGCTCATATATACAATAGGTCTTAGTTGCTCTAACTTTTCCTGCTCTTCACAGTGATGCTGAAGGTTTCCACATGGAACACAACTACACTGTTAAAAAATCAAAGACAAAATACACAGCCCTCACAACATGTTACGCATTTATTTGCACTTACCCCATCGTCAGCTACTGTTAGCCTGATTGATGATGGCACAGCACATAACTCTATCAGCTTTGCAAATGTGTATTTATTTATGTTCATTTTAGCAACTTGGTCCTTACAGGGTCTCTCTGGTGAAATCTGTAGAACAGTTTTGCCTGTGGCTCATTTCTTTCAGGACACCCTGGATAAAGGCGGACATGAACTATGTTCTATTTTATATAAGGCGCAGATGAGGCAGGAAAAGCTGGAGAAAAGGCTGGAGCGACACTGAGATGTCACACATGCACAAATACTTTATAATCCAGATACATGACTGTAGCTCATGGTGGCTAATGTTAGCAAAGGCTATGTCACTGACACTTATTGAACTGCGCCTTAGTTTGCGACTTCTATGTACTCTTACAATAGATTGGCATTTTAGCAAACATAATGGTAAAGGTAATCGCCTTTAGCATTATCTCATAACTCTCTCTTATAGCTGCAGTGATCTCAAATCAGCCAAAGTTTCCATGGTCTCACTTTAATTATCTTCACCTTTAGTATATCTACCATCTACTTTAGTCATTAATCAGTTGGCTTTGTATGCCACCAAGCTGTGTTTAAAATTCACTTTGTATTCAGTCTGAATATACCTTTATACAAGCAATTGGTAGAATACTAATAAAAGTAATTAAACAGTGCTTGAGTAGTTTGTTTTGTTAGCTAGGAATGAAAGAGTCTATCATCACAAACAATTTTCATAGTTTTAGAAATGTGTACTCATACTGTGTTTATGAGATGATGTTTATGAAATGTATTCATTCATAGAGCAACAAAATGGGGTCAGTTAAATTTAAAAATTCATGCTATACGTACAACCAAAAAAAGATTTTGTATTTCCATAAGTAGGGTAAAACTATGGAATAATTTAAGTGCGGACATAAGAAAAAGTAATAGAATTGATATTAATAAATGTAAAGGTTTGTGTCAATCAAGATAAATGCAAGAACAGGCTCAATGATTAATTAGATGGAACATTGTGGGTGTGGTGTACGAATGTTAATTCTTTAGTATATTACTTGTGTGGTGGAGAAGATAATTATAGAAGTGAATCATTTATTGCTTGCAAACCAATGATGGTAAGATGATGTCATGGGGTAGGACTGGGTAAGTCTGACTTCTTCCTACTCCATTCAAGCATGTACTAGGTATAAGCAAATTGATATTGGATTAGCATTTGTTGGATATGTGTAAAATTATGTGTGTTGTCATATCAACTGTCTTTACATGCTTGAAAGAATAAATCAATTCAAATCAAATCAAATCAAACACAATTAAATATGTAATTGTTTTGTTTGTGATTATTTTTGGATAAAAATTCTTGAAGCATGATACACTGCTCCAATTCAAAGCAGCTACAATATTGCTTTTAAACAACTAGAAACAAATTTAAACAAGTTAAAATTTACTCTGGGTTTTTTACTGAGTTTTTGTTTTGCTTTTCTAAAGGCCTTTATGCATCTAACAGTTACGTAATTACAGAGCTGAGAATTTTAAAATGTCTTTTTCCTGTATGAACTCAAATCATTCTAGTCTTCAGACCCAGGCCCACTCATCAGATCTTTGATACGTTTCAAATTATTTTAGAAAACGGTTTCTTATATTACTCAGAAAACTTTTCACTACTTTGTAAGTGATCAGGGTTTACAAAGTTCATGAATCGAATGAATAAAATAAAATTATTGCACTGATTATACAGTAGCAAGCTTTAGACTTTGATCTGTGTCTTTTATATTATATACCTACTATTGGACATTTAACATAAAATAATATATATACAGTATTTATGTGAAATAGGCATGGGAGGCTCAGTTAAAGCATTTCTGTGGGATAATTACATGTAGTTCTGCAACAGTTGACGAGATACATTTCAAGTGTCAGTGATTTCACAAAACAGTGTAAAGTGAGGGAGTCCTGGTCTGAACAATGACTTTTCCAACAGGATCTTATTGTTCAAATGTCTCGCTTATGTTCACAGGTAAAATTCAAAGCACAGGCTGATCAGAGAACAGTCTCCAAAGAACTGTGCCAACACATCTCCACACAGACAGGGGCGCTGGCTTCTTCACATTCAAAGGGTACGGTACATTTTTACGTCAAATAAAGGCTTTCAGACAAACATGTAACCTGTACAGACATCCGCATGAGAGACTATGGCAGACATGAGGAATGACAAGACAATGTTATGAAAATATACAATGTGTGATGTACAACAGTTACATTCATTCAAAATAAAAAAAGATGACATGGAAAAATCTTTCTACATTTGTTCTTAAACATGTGTTTTTAAAGTTCAGGATGATCAGTCAAAAGTTACAAGCAAGAAACATCCAGGAAATAACTAGAATATTATAAAGGGATCAAGTCAATAGTAAAAGACAAAAAAGATAACGAAAAAATATCCAGTATGGTTGAAATCAAACCAAAGAAAAAATGAGTCCCGACTGCTCTGAGAAGCTGGACAGTCAAATTATCTGTACACACACATGCCAACATTCCATGAAAATACACACAGCACAGGCAGTTTTCATCACTGGGCTGGCTTTTGGATTCAGTGCATTCTTTAAGGAGGTGGGTTATTTATGTACAGTTATGGCGGCTGTGTTTTAATAGTTACTGACTGTTTGCTGTTTTGTGCCCTAACTCATTTGACATACTCAGCTGACTTCCAGAAGTGCCCTGGGTGGGAAAGCCGGCGGTTCCGTTTTGGCAACTTTTCCAGTAAATCTACCAGCTTGGAGAAGCTGGGCCGCTCTTCTGGCTTGTATGCCCAGCAGAGGAGTAGAATGTCCTGGAAAATACAGAGGTACATGGAAAACCAAGCTGTCAGACATCACATCTTTAGGAGCTGAGCTCTCTGAGCGATGGGGGTCAGTGGAGAGGTGAGCACGTTTCACATTTGTTGGATATTTATGGAGAAACCTCTGATCGAGCCAAACTGGAAGGAACACATTGTAGCCAGACTTTTTTCTTTTTTGAAGAGAATTGTGTGATTTGGCTGTCACACAAATGACATTGTTATTCTTGTATGCATGTGACTTTCAGTTAAATCTGTGCAGGAGTGGAAGTTTAGGATGTCAGCGGTGTTCAAATCGAGCTGCATACATGTCACTTACAAACATGAATGTATCAGCTGTGATAATTTTCTCTGAGGGTGGTCCCACAGTCTCAGGCTCTGAAAACCTCTGGATTAAAAGACTAACTGATCTGACACCCTATGTAAATAAAAGCACACAATTTCAGTTAATTGTAATTTTAATTTATAAACAACTACATTTACCACAGCCTGAATTTAATAAATGCTTATTTTATCTTTAATTAAGATGACAGACAATAAAGGCATTTTTCCACACATATTTAAGCACCGTCTATAGAAAGTTTTTACTTTGAAATTATAAGCCTCATTATAAAAACTCTGTTCCTGCATTTCATCTTAATCATTTTAAGAGCTTTTCTGTCAACCCAGCCACATATTGATTATTGCCTTTAGCATGCAAAGCTAACAGTTCAAAGTTTATAGATTATGTAAAAGCAAAAAGAGTCCAGGATTCAGAGCACTTAAACATTAAAAGTATGTATCTGAGTTTGACAAAACCTACAGATTCATTTGAAAATAAAAAAAAAAAGCTCTTACTAATATCTCTTTCCCCATGCCAGTTTGGGCGAGGTTGGGCTTCATCCCGCTGCCAATCTGCCAAATGATCACCTCTGCTGGCTGACTCTTGTAAGGCCACTCACGTGCATGTAACTCGTACCAAATGGTGCTGTGAAGACAGAGAATATATAAGGGTTGATATCCCGGCCAGTGCTACCACTATTAGCATCCATAAACCATCAAACTCAATGATTATGATTAGTGTTCAGATTAACATACAACTGATTCTGCACAGATGCATTGTGATTCATGTTTTGAAGAACAATTTCATCCAGAAGTTAAACAACCCATTTTTAATTACCACTTGTGCAAAGTTAGTTTACAACACCATTCCAGAGCAAATTATCATTCTGCTCCTGTGCATTAAGTTTGAGTAGCACAAAAACAGTTCTTTGCCAGGAGTAGGGGAAAAAAGATGGCTAATTGTTGATGAATATTTAAAACAGCCACAGGTCACCTCTAGGTCACCTCTAGGCCTAACAGAGCAGCTGGACATTGTGCGCCAGCACTGTACTCCTCTTCCCTTAAGAATGATACAGAGATGAATCCTCCATATGTGGGACCATCTGAAAATGCAACTGTGTTAGGAGTCAGCAGAGAAGGGTCCACCCCCACAAATGAATCAGTAGTGGCAGTGCAGGAAGAAAAAGAGCTGTGGGGACTTTTAATCAACTTAGGACAAACTTAAAATTGGGCCTCAGAGGAGGAGAATAGGGACACGTTGGACTGACAGTCGAGGTAAGCAGGTGCTTGTTACATTTTGGGCAGTTTTGCAGAAAGATTAGATGGCTGATCAAATACCTGCAAGAGGTAAAAGTGACCTCAGGATCTGATGTTGTTAGCCTTCTCGTGCCTTAGCATTATGTCATGAGTGTAGTAACTTTTTAGTATGTGTAGGTTTTTATGAATTGATCATTTAGTTTGATTTGATTTGTTGTGTGTCTTTACTATGGCATCTAGACCTGAGCTTCTGTAAGCAACATTCTCACCATTTCTGACTGGCAAACAAACCCACTATGTTGGGAAGAGCTTCAAAACAATTTCTCCCCAAAGGTATAGGTCATAGGAATCAGCAAAGGTCACTCTCATATCCCCATCAGTAAGTGGGATCTGGATGTTGCAGTGTGACCAGAAATTGAGTTTCCTAACACATACTGTACCGTGTGCCTTATTTAAACTATAGTGACGAAGATGAAGCCTGAGGGCATACAAGAGCTCACACACCTGGTCCTATTTTAAAGCAGAATTTCTCATCAAAGTCACAAGGACCACTATACAGTTGAAAGGCAATCGAGATGGAATCAGATCTGAGAAAAGTCAGTATGATTTAACCAGAGAATTTAACAAACCTGACACAAAATGGCAACTATATATCCATGTTTGGCACCAGGTTACCATCTGTCTGACTAAAGTTCCATTTGATTATTGTTGCTCAGACAGGATTCACTGGTGTAATCTATTTTCCATGGATGCTCAATCGGTGAAGGTTGAGTTCTTCTATTTGATTTACACAAACTGCTGTTGTTGCTGCCCTGAATATAAAACCCCCATCACCACCTGTGCAGCTGAGACCTTCACTGTTCCAGGGATTATAGCATCTTCTCCGTAATCAGGAATATGTCAAAATTTTTAAGCAATTAAGTTTTAAAATTCTTAACTGTGCTCTCAATAAAATACTAGGTTGAATATGTAAAGATGGACAAAAACTGAAGCAGAATTGTCATTTAAAAATCACCATTTATTACTTTATCTACGTCTTTGCGTGGTAAGCAGTGAAAATCTGTATCTATAATGAGATCTGTTAATTAGAGTTGACTCTGTCATGTGATGTAGAGTTTTAGGGCACTGTAAAAATAAGTAAGTCTTATTAAATTCAAACACATATTCCGTTAACTATCATCCTCCAACTAAGAGGACACTCACCCAAAAGCAAAGACATCTGACTGCTTGGAGAAGGGAAGTTTGTCCTCCTCTGTGTCCGGAGAGAGCTGCTGGATGATCTCTGGGGCCAGGTGACACAGCCAGCCGTTGGGGATCCGCAGTTTGTCTTCTCTTCGGCTGCAGAGTGAGAAACGTTGTCAGAGTTTACAGATTTGCTGTATCATGCAGCCAAACAATTAAAAGGGTTACAGTGCTCCATTTTCATTACACGGAGCCATTATACGGTAAGTCGATGATGTGCGCTGGCATATTTAGACAATTTCCAGTCAGCTTCTGTAACAGCGACTAAGCACAAAACAGCATCCATGTGTTTTTAAACCATTGCTATATGTCTTTTTCTTTACTGACGGCACCTGTAGGCTGCGTGGCAATGACATTATCGCAAGATGGGCTAAATAAAGTATTGATCACAGTCCGTGGTAAACCGTACACTATCAAAGGCATGTCACTGAAAGCCTGTTGAATCCTAACACTACAATGTAAAGAGAACAAAGGGGTGCAAGCAAAGACAAGTCATTACATTAGTTCACACTAATCCTCTAATAGTGACAGCCAATTTATAGCGTTTTGATTGTTACCAGCAATTCAGTTTTTTCTTTATATGATATTTCTCTGTATACTGTCTGTACTGTGAGCTTTATTCAAACACTATTGAATTTTTCTGCACATCCTTGACCTGATTTCTCTCTTTTTCTCTCTCTCGAACACCTCTCTTTAACACTGTTTGTGTTCTTCATTGTAGAAGTGGGAATTTCACATGGTTTAAAAAAGTGCTCCAGTCTGTGATGTGTACTGAGCATACAGGAATTACCTGCCAGCCTGCAGAACCCCAGATATGGTGAAGAGTCCAAAGTCTGTAATGACGACTTTGCCGTTGTCATAGAACACATTCTTGGATTTCATGTCTTTATGTAGGATCCCCTTAGCATGAAGGTAGCCCATCCCCTGGGGGCAGAGAGCAATGTGACATGTCTGTAATATGATGTGCAGTGCTCAAACGTTCTGGGGAATCACTGCTGAGCTGTGTTACCTTGACCATCTCTTGTGCAATCTGTCGAGTCTTGTTAACATCCAGGACAACCTTGGCATCCCGCACCACAGAATACAATGTCCTGCCTTTACACAAGCTGAGGGAAAAGGACAGGATAAGTTACTGTGTTGACTTATGTCATCAGTTTTTTAAATGTCAAAACATTTGACAAACAGTAATCACTCTTTGTTTTAAACCAACATGTGGAATGTGTGGAATGTTTTACTCATGTCCCACAGTTGACAGGAATGGGTGGTGATGGTGTTTGCCACCACTACAAACCATCTACCATCGTAGGAAATAAAATACTGCTGCACATTGATGCCACTGCTTTTTAATAAATTACATTTGGGACAGTTCATCCATTTCTTACACTGCAGAATAGATTTTGTTGTTTATGCTGTTTAATTCAGTCTTAGCTTACTTTTAGCCCTTTTACTATTTAAATCCCATTTACAGTGGGTACGGAAAGTATTCAGACCCCCTTGAATTTTTTTACTCTTTGTTATATTGCAGCCATATGCTAAAATCATTTAAGTTCATTTTTTTCCTCATTAATGTACACACAGCACCCCATATTGACAGAAAAATACAGAATCTTTGACATTTTTGCAGATTTATAAAAAAAAAAAAAACAACTGAAATATCACATGGTCATAAGTATTCAAACCCTTTGCTCAGTATTTAGTAGAAACACCCTTTTGAGCTAATACAGCCATGAGTCTTTTTGGGAATGATGCAACAAGTTTTTCACACCTGCATTTGGGGATCCTCTGCCATTCCTCCTTGCAGATCCTCTCCAGTTCTGTCAGGTTGGATGGTAAACGTTGGTGGACAGCCATTTTCAGGTCTCTCCAGAGATGCTAAATTGGGTTTAAGTCAGGGCTCTGTCTGGTCCATTCAAGAACAGACCCGGAGTTGTTGTGAAGCCACTCCTTCGTTATTTTAGCTGTGTGCTTAGGGTCATTGTCTTGTTGGAAGGTGAACCTTCGGCCCAGTCTGAGGTCCTGAGCACTCTGGAGAAGGTTTTCGTCCAGGATATCCCTGTACTTGGCCGCATTCATCCTTCCCTCGATTGCAACCAGTCGTCCTGTCCCTGCAGCTGAAAAACACCCCCATAGCATGATGCTGCCACCACCATGCTTCACTGTTGGGACTGTATTGGACAGGTGATGAGCAGTGCCTGGTTTTCTCCACACATACCGCTTAGAATTAAGGCCAAAAAGTTCTATCTTGGTCTCATCAGACCAGAGAATCGTATTTCTCACCATCTTGGAGTCCTTCCCATTGAGCATCTCTGGAGAGACCTGAAAATGGCTGTCCACCAACGTTTACCATCCAACCTGACAGCACTGGAGAGGATCTGCAAGGAGGAATGGCAGAGGATCCCCAAATGCAGGTGTGAAAACTTGTTGCATCATTCCCAAAAAGACTCATGGCTGTATTAGCTCAAAGGGGTGCTTCTACTAAATACTGAGCAAAGGGTCTGAATACTTATGACCATGTGATATTTCAGTTTTTCTTTTTTAATAAATCTGCAAAAATGTCAAAAATTCTGTGTTTTTCTGTCAATATGGGGTGCTGTGTGTACATTAATGAGGAAAAAAATGAACTTAAATGATTTTAGCATATGGCTGCAATATAACAAAGAGTGAAAAATTTAAGGGGGTCTGAATACTTTCTGTGCCCACTGTATATGCAAAATGTTATGTTGCTGTGTTTCTCTTTGTATATTGTCTTAAGGCATTTCCTCTGATTGCCTTTAGGTTGAAAGTTGAAAATAAAATTAGTGTCATTGTGCCATAATATCTGCATTAAAGGCATGTTGGCAGTATAGAAGGAGGGGAAATGCATTATTTTAATACGGTTATCATACCCTTAGTATGTAAATGAGGCCTAAATTTGCCTCTTTTATGTTACATACATGGAGATATGTTAACATATTAAACCAGACAGGAACATGTTGTTAAAGACTGTGCACAGTGGCTCCTTTTTAAACGTAAATCAGAACTATTAGAGAGTGTAATACATTTTATTTACACTGTCATTTTGGCACCAACCTGTGAACAGTTTCAGCAAATGGTTGATACTGTAGCTGTTGGAAAACCGGTTATTTGTCAGAGGTTTATGTTTTTACAGCCTGTACGAACTGAAGTGAATGTGGCATAACAATGCAAAAACGCTTCTAATAATGTCATGATACTTTCATCTTCTACCTGTGCTTTTTTGTCACTGCTTTGTCTCTTGTACAGCTTCTTGCAGCATTCAGAGTTTTAGGTTTTCACACACTTTCTTTTTAAATAACTGGTGATATGACACCCTTCACCTCCACAGTTCACATTGCTCTATTCAATTCATATAACCACTCACCTTTGAAATGCTCAATATGGTTTTTGCACTTTTAACCAAACCACAACTTTACCTTACCCTGCAGCTACATGTGTGAGAGTGTGTCAGTGTGTTAGTGTAGCTTGAGATGGTGTTAAAAGATAAAATGTCCTCAGTCTGAACTGAAAGCTGGGCCCACTCAGTTCCAGGGTGAAGCTGTTACACTGTGGTTCGTGGAGGTGCTGTCATATTTCAGGAAGGGTGCCATCACAACAGCATATTAATATGACAGCTCTACAACCACCCCCTGCCTCACAGCTGAAGCCCTCAACCCCGACCGTGCCATGCAGGTGACCAGAAAAGGACCTGACACCAACAGTTCATTCATTAAAGCGGCATTTTTAGAAGTTTTCTTCTGTCTGGGGCTTTTCAACACAAAAATGCAGCTTATGGCTTTAGTGTTGCCTCAGCCAAAACCTTTAAGTAAACATTATGACTTATGACAGTACGATTACATTACGACAGACCAACACCATGTGAACAAGCTATAAGCAAGGTGAGGAAAAGCTAGTGAAGCCACTGGAACATGCTGACAGTCACGTCTGTGCTTTGGCACAAAGTAATTATGGATTCATGGAGCAAAGCCCAGCAGTAACATAACAGATGACTCTGTGATCGGTAAGCTCAGCAAAATCAATCCACAGTCACTTATGAAAAATGAAACAATCGAAGATAAACGAGACAATCAATATTTTATGTTTCAACTAATGTGGCCTAAAAGCCCTCATTCTTAACAAACCGATGAACCTTACTTTGGTTTAATTTTACAGGCTTGTCATGTTGCACTTTGTGCTGCAAGAGTAGAATAAAGACTGCATGTTTGAGTTCCTGGTGGATAACAAAGCCACCTGTTGCACTGACATTTCCTATTATTTCAGCAATCAGCAGCAAGGATTTCTGAGCAGCAGCCATCTCACGTGTTAGCTCCCCTGCACTCATGGCAATTTCAACTGTCGTCAACCGCAATCACGCATCTGAATCAATCAGTCAGACAGTTATTTAAAACACATTTACCACCACTGTGAATGTGATGGGAATAGAGTGAAATTTTTACATTTGACTTTGTTTCCAGAAGCTGTGAAACCAACATGAAAATCCCTCTCTTGCTTTTCTTTTTAACTTCTTTCTTAATAGACAAGAAAAAGAAGTTAATTTCTTCTTAAATGAAAGATGAAAAAAGAAGAAACAAAAGGGTAAGTTATTATTTTATTGCGGTTTCCTTTTTTGTTCACATCCTGTGGATAACAGTGCCAGAGTGGCAAATATCCTTTTGAACATTATTAGCTATGTCACTTAATTAAATAAGAGTGTTCCTTGTGATGGTCTTGGTTAGGAACACTGCCCCGGCTTCTTTGTTATAAAGAGGAAAATACATTTTGAACACTAATCCAAGAAATAATTAAAGTTGTTCTCTACATGAGAGAATTCACTCAAGTTCACCCCAACCTGGTACACTTGTATTATCTGCTGTTACATTGTAGTGAAGACAAACACAGGTGTGGGTGGTTCACCCCCTGTTCTAATCATAACCTCTGCACACTGTAATGTCAGCTGCTCTAAACTCATTGTCCCAGAGGGGGGCAGATCTGTGGCTAATCTAAAACAAGTCTCAGGGGGATAAGGACCAACTCTGGAGACCCAACAGCTGGTTAACATGCAGAACAAGCATTTAGAGCTCAGAGGCAGAATAAACCCCAGATTTCAGAGCTGTTGTGCTGACTTTCAGGACACTCAACAGACAATAAGGAATAAGTGAAACATTTTCAATTCTATGGATAAATGCATACTTTTCAAACACTTCTGCACTATTAGGCTTTAGCCACAATTCTAATATAATCCACATCTGCAAATCATATTACACAGAAGAAGATGAATCAGATTTGACAGATTTCACACTTTTCCTCAATCCCTGTATATGTACAGTAAGAACTAAAATTCAATCACATATATTTACTTAAAGTTGCAATAGCATACTGTATATATAATAACTGTATTCAACTTTCATTTTTATGGACATTCTTCCTTTTATCATCCTTTTTATAATATATTTGTTCTTATGTGCTTATATGGTTTTGTGCACTGTGCAGCAAATGGTGAACAGTCTTATACTTAATGTTTTTCTACACATTGAAGCGCACTCTAAGTGCTTTACACTATTGCCCATTCACAAACACACACACACATTCACACACCGGTGATATCAAAAGGGGGTAACTGGGGGTTCAGGGTGTTGCTCAGGGACACTTCAACATGTGGACTGGAGACACCTTCAAAACAAAAGCTGCATTAAATTCCTTACCAGATAAGCAGGGTTTGAGTAATTATTATGTTCACACTTGAAAAAGAAACTATAAACAAAAATGTCTATGCATACTAATATAAGTTTGATTTTTGAGTGTGCTGTTGATGGACACCATCACTATCAAAGTAATTAACAAGGAAAATGGAGGTGCTACGAAAAAAAAAACACATTGGGAATGGAGGCAGGGTAGCATTAAAACTTTAGAGACATTTAGTTTTTTCCTTCTGAGGTTTAATTTGCAGCTTGAGTGTTGATTAGTGCATGTATTTAATGTGTTGATTTCTAAGTTGACTAAGTCAAAACACTGCTTAATGGTTTTATCTTTTTTTTTTTTGCCAGGGTAGTGTAATAACACTTGTGGACATTAAACTTGTATGTATGAGATATGACAACTCAGCAGGTTTAATCTACAGCATCTCTAAGGCTGATATCTGGGCTTTCTGTACAGTACAACCTGTTATACCTTTATTCTTACCTGGTGATGATGGCCAGGTGTGGTGGACTCATGCAGGCCCCCATAAATAGCACCACATTCTCATGCCGTGTGTTGCGATAGGCCATCACCTCGCGTTTGAAGGCCTTGAGCTGGTCCTCATTGTCACGTTCAATGTCAATCAAGCGGATGGCGACCTCCCCATGCCAGCGTCCATGGAAAACTTTGCCAAAGCGTCCCTTACCGATCATCTCCCCGATCTCCAGCTGCTCAAATGGGATGTCCCACTCCTGTAGGAAGATGCTGGTCTGGCTGGCCTTGCGTGGGAAATTGCGAGCTGACAGGAGCGAGAGGTTCATCTCCTCGAACTCGTCGCCAGAGTCTTCGTCATTCCCCTCCTCATTCTGTGTCAATACAGATTTAACTGTTTTTGTGGATGTAGGCCAACATTTCACAGATTAACAAATTTGTGAGTGTGGTGATTAAAACAAGTAGAGTTAAAATATTCTACCAAGATGTCAAATGCCATTCAGTAACCTGAGAATTAAAACCTGCTAAAACCTCTTAGACTACACGAAGTAAAATTTGCCAACTGTAGTGCCATGCGGAGTCATGCCATTTTTATAAATGACTACTGAATATTTTCAGTGCTTCTATCTTTAATTTTAGGGCAATTCTGACCTCCAGCATTGTACTGCAGTGACGTCACAGGAAATTAATCTGGCAACATGGCCTGATACAGAAACTGATTTAGCTACAGACTGTCTCTGAAGTCCTGATGACAGCTTTGAAAAGAGCAGGGGAAAAAAGTAAACAAGAGCCTGCGAAGGTGGCTCGTAATCCGTCCTAGCTTTGTATTAGTAGGGCTTTATCGGGTCAGCTCCAGATCCCCTTCTCACTGGTGGTGGAAAAGTACAGGGTACTAATTATATGCAAAGACTGGGCAGGTTAGAAGTGCAGAAGTCATGACAAGACCCAGGGAAAAGTGGACAGGAGACACAGTGATAGCACAGAAGGATTGGAAACCTGTGCACAGGAAGTCAATGCCCTAGAAGTACCCATTTCCATCAATGGGTAAAGCACAGGTATCACACCTGGAGAAAGAAAATCAGAGGGCACAGGCAGTGGAAATGGGACAAAGTGGGTCCTTCCGAAGAGGAAAATCTCATGGGCTCAACTCTAGAAGCTGCTGCCCTTCGGATTTCTTATCTTTTCACCACCAAACCTGTACAGGTGGAGCTTAATAGAAGACCCACAGTACAAGCTCTGTGAAAAGGCTGCAAAACAGCACTCATATCAAGGGAGATACAGGTTTCAAGCATGGCAAAGTGATCCCAGCTCTAGAAGACATACTGGAGAAGGAAAGACTTGAGAAAAAGTGGGACAAGCTCGTGTCAAGAAAGTCCAAGTACAGCTCCTACCAGAAGCCCAAAGGGTTGGGGAATTAAAGTGGGCAAGGAAGCTGCAGTTCCACCCAGTCATCCAAGCATCTTTGAGGCTAGACATGGTCATCTTGAACAGGCAATAGAGATCATTCTCATTGAATTAAATGTCCCATGGGAGGCGGGGTATGATAAAGCACAGGAGGGAAAAGTCACCAAGTACCTGGAACCGGTCCAGGGTGGCAGTGACAAAGGCTGGCCTGCCTGGCTCTTCCCAGTTTAGGTTGGATGCAGATAGTTTCCAGCATAGTTAACATGGAAGATGATAAAAGCCTTGGGGGTATCAGAAACAGTGAAAACAAAGGGCAACAGCAGCTCACAAGCTGGGAAAGCCTGCAGAACAAGCCTCTTGCTGGCAATGGGAGGCGATGAACTGGAGGCCAGGAGCTGGTGGGCAGTGGTTTGGCCACCACTGTCAACCCTTCAACTGCAGGATGTTACTGTTAACAATCAAAACACCCAATGAAAGCGGGCCACTGTTTGACATCAGCTCCTCACCAAAGGCTGCAGTCATGCAAAAGAATGATGGGAGATGACTCATCTATGATGTATTCCACAATGATACTCTTTCCAAGGTGCAAAAATGTATTTGAGGCCATTAATAATAATGAAGTCAGGCCTATTCTGTTCTCTGCTATGGCTTTTAAAAAACAAAACTATCATATCCATATGTATATGTTGCCTTTACATTAAATTCTAAATGTTTCTCAAGCCGTATGCATTTGAAATACCGATGGCTGTTTAGCCTATTACCAATAAAAATACATTTATGAAAAGGGAAAATGGCTAGAGGGAGAAACCGGATGATTTATTCTGATTTGATTTTAAATATAATGTACTGCAGGAGTGAAAGTGACCTGTTCAAAGATGCCTGGTGGAATATTATTCGAGGCAATCTGCATCACATTTTCTCAGAATATATCATTGTTACAGGAAGGGCAATAATGATCAGTGCAGCCAAGTTTTTTTTCCTTCTTGCTGCTTCTGATGCATAACTTACCTGGAGGCTCCTCGAAGAGCTGAGCCAAATTATGCTAAATGAGAGAACGACGCAAATGACTTCAACACGGGATGAGAGCTGTATTTTGTCTTCATTTGGCTTTCACACCGACAAAATTACTGACAAAATGTGAGGAAGAAAAATCACATTCCAAAACATTACAAAGGTCACACTTGAAGAAGAACAGAAGGACTCACGTCTGATGTAGGCTCAACTTCGATCTGAAGTAAAGGGTTGCCTTCATTCCTAAAAGCAAAAAGAGTAGATGTAGAAATAAACAAAGGAAAAGGCAAATAAATTAGCTATCCTTTGTATATAACTGATAAGTCTTTGTATTTTTGTTTGTTTTAATTAATAAGTCATTTTTGCTCCACTGATCTGGTTTGAATGGTGTTTTATTGTTCTAACAAAGAGTGAATGGTCCATTTTTTCATTCTGACAGACACGTTTAGCACACTTAAATCCTATTAGTCTATGTGACCAAATGAATCTTGTAAATACTAACATTTTCAGATGAAATGTGTTCATACAGTATACTGTATAATGATATACTGTAATTGGTGGTACAGCCTGATCTTGCACCCACACCTGTGTTCAATCAAGGCAAGTGTATATTATCATTGAAATTAAAAGTCTGGGTTCTTATCTCCAACTTCCTTATGCAATCAATGCTCGAGTCTGAGTCAGAGCCATAAGTGCTGAAGTCCAAGTCGAGTCATGAGTCCTGAAAATCTGGACTGGAGTCGGACTCAAGCCAAAGTCCTGGACTTGAGTACTACAACACTGCCTTTATCTTAATCTTGAATTTTGAAGGTTGTTTGCCACCCTGTTTTGTGAGTGGACAATCTTTACAGTCTTCTTTTACCAAGACACGAAACATTGTATTGATGCAGAATCCATTTGTTATACAGGAATAAAGGATTTATTGGGGAAATATGAATGAATATGAAAAGAGCTATGACTGTGACTACAAAGCCCTTTTTACACTTAGATGTGTTTAAGATTGAATCCTAACACATTTATTTTCTATCGTTGCAGACCGGCAGAGATAAGTCCATCGTCCAGCCTTAATTTTTTTAGGATTTTTTTCCCCAATTTTGTCAATCTTGTTTTTGTTGAAATAGTTGCATTTTCTTTACTTCTGTTATACTCAGTCAAGTTGTGGTTGTCTCTACAAAAAATTACAAAATATTTTCAAATAACCCTAAAAAAATTAGTGGACCACAGACTTTTATATTGTAAATGACCTGCAGTGGCTCGCAGGTGGCAAAAACACATTCATATGACGACTATTTGATGGATATTGTAAATGAATAAAATGACTCCTAATTATTGGTGCCATTTTCTGACCGTAATATTAAGTTTCACAGCCATTTTATGAACTTTGAAGTGCATTTTCGCCCTGAATCTCAATTAATTCCTGACCTGGGCTTGTACACTGTCGATGCCAGTGACACAACACAAATGAACCCACTTCTCCTGTTCAACCCTGGCTATGTAACATCAGCGCATGACCTCCCACAACCTTTCTGTAGTATCTTAACATTAGTTCACAAAGCATGCCTGGACCCAAAGATCACAGGTGAGTCAGTGCATAAAATAATGTGATTGCTATGGCGCCAAGGACCCCCGCCACTGTTCGATCTCTGCTCTAATGAGGGGATCCTGCCGGCTGCTGGGGTCTGAGACAGGCCCTCATTAACCCTGGGATGAGGCCATTAATGCCAAAGAAATCTGTCAGCTGCCACTGTAAGAGCATACAAAGATGTGGGAAAGGAGGGACAATAGCATTAATTACATCAGAAGGATATGGGTTTCATAACCATGGTAATGTATTCACATTTGTCAAAAGGCAGAGAACCAGAGCATGAGAGTGAGAAAATGAGAAATAAGAGAATTAAAACATTTTCTATATGTTTTCTGCCCAGTTTCATGATCTCCTTTTATGGTTTCTAAATGTTTAGCTTGATCAAGAATGAGCAGAAAAGTCGAGGTAAAAAACGTGCTGCTTTTATTGAGTGATCCCACTGGGGAAATTCATATTTTACACAACCCCCTGCAAGAAGGATGGATTGGAAACAGAACTGGGAAAACAGATTCAGCCCCTGATGTACCCCCTGACACATCTACCAGAGACCCTAAGGGAAACACCATTGCTTGCTTTCTGTTCTTGCAGCCAAAAGCCCAGCTAAAGAGACATAAAGTCACTCAGCTGATTTAATCCCCAGTACAGGTCACATAAACACAAAACGGTGGGAAAAAGGTTGTGCAAGGTATCTGTGCTCATCTCTACACAGCGAATATTTGTTAAAAGTTCAAATATTCCCATCTGCCTGGATTACACCTGAACAAAAAAAAAAAAAAAAAGGCTATAAAATTCAGTGAGCAGAAACCTGCACGCTGCTGCCCAGGGCAAGTGAACCACAGAACTAGCTTACTATCCAACACCGTTCTCACCTCGCTCATGACCTTTACCCTACAGTAAAAGAGTGATCATCAGTCATCAGAATAATTCAGCATTTGTAGGAGACTTTTAAGGCTTACGTGTTTCTGTCCAAAGGGTGATTCTTTGCCCATTTGAACTGGCTGTTTAGAGAATGTAAAACATGTCTAGCTACATTGGTATCAGCTGTTCTGAATATTTTGACAAATATTAAGCAATGATTAATATGCTAACAAATAACAAAAAGATATCCAAGGACTTAGTGGTTAAAGCAACACGGGAGTTGTAATTGTAGAAGGTTTGACAACAAAATAAATGTTGTTTCATGGTCAGCTGTGCCAACTTTACTAGGCTGTATTCCCATTTGGAAATATAATGTACAAATATTTACAAAGAATATCACAATGCAAATGACTAGGTCCCCCTGTCTACACATCTGCAACTCAGTCAGCCCCAGTGTGTCTGCAGAGGCCAGCCTGTTTTGGCCTCATCCTCCCTTTTGCTTTACAGAATAAAACTCCTACAGACAATTGTCACACCTCATGCAAAACTGGCAGCCAGTCGCTTAAAATTCTCTGAACATACAGATAATAATCCTTTTCACATCATAACTGTTATGTTAATGAATGTGCCACTAATAATCAGGGTACTCCAACACAATTGGAGCCTACTGTGTTGCACACATGCCATCCTCTTTGCAGACTTTTAATTTCTTCTGATTCCTATTCATTCCAGACATTGCTTCCCACTTTTTCTCTCACAGCTGGTAGCTACTACGGTAACATGGCATGAAGACTTCAAACGCAGTCATTTTTTTTTTATTCTAAGTATATTTCTAATATGTACTGTACAGTATAGCTACTAATTCAAAAACATCAATACCTTTTGCTCTCCACTAACTAGGACCTTTTCAAGACTGTGCTGATATTTTGAAAATCAAATTTAACTGTGGCATTATTTGCTATTGATTAATCCATTACTAACTCCTGGATATGTTTCATATTTCATCAACATTGGCCATCTGCCTATAGACAGAGGTTCTCTTGCCCTGTTTCTTGTGATAGATCCTAATCTAATTAACATCTGGGTCGAAAGGTATCTCATCACTCCTTCTGTTCTTCCGGTCGTTGTCCTGTGACCACTGGCTTCCTTCAAAGAGCCAGTGGAAATCCAAATGGCATCCCAAGTGTAGCGTGAAGTAAAGGCCATGCCAACATTAGTCTCTGAGTATTCGTCATGTCGGCCCTCACATTGCAATCGTCGCCCTAATAACTGTGCTCCAATACATCTGACCTGGTCTCTGACCAGCAGAAGGAGAGACGAGGGTGCATGCAGATGAGAGGAAGGTAACTGAGAAAAGAGGTGGGTCTGCTGACAATCAGAAGTACTTTCTTAATTTCTTTAAATGTAGCCATGTGGTGTTATTGAATTACTTCTGCAGTAGATTCTACTCACCCCGGTTCAGATAGGACAGGGTGCAGAATGACCTGCGGCGCTCTGCTGGGCGGAGCTTCTGGAGCAACATCTGGAGAGCCACAAAATATCAAACAAATTAGACAAAAAAAAATGTATTTCAGTACTAAATCATTCTAAACACAGTTGCTTTCCATGTCTTAGAAGAGATATCAGCTACAGATACAGGGTGAAAGGTGAAGAGAGGCTCAGACGTCTTCTCTTTTTCATCTCTACTGAAACCTCCTCACAGCTAAAGTACTGTCACTCTCTAACATACTAAACACAGAGATCAGAAGGAGTTGTCCCCTATTTGCTGAGCCAAGGTAAACATTCACACGTGCTGCTTACCTAATAAAGAAATTAAAAACAGAAATACTGTACAATTAAAGCATGATACAGCCTGACCACATACAACACATGTGCCTAGTGTTATGGTGGTGCTACCAATGGAGAAATGTGATGCTGAAATCATTACCTATGTTTCAGGTTGCATTTTTGGTGAGAATCCAGGAGCCTGTGTGAGAGGACTGGTGTCTAAAACATACTCTCTTTAATCAACATTACTTTGCATCTATCACAGCAGGAGTTGGTTATCCCAATTAAGAAACTGGCTGGTAAACATCTACATGAACATGAAAAAATGATTAAAAAATCCTGATTACTGGTTGATACGCTGCCAACTTTTATACTGTACTGCTTTATCTCCAACATTTTTAATCAAACTTACTTTGACCAAATGAATACACTGTTACACACTGTATGTCCTGAACATGTGACATTTTTCAGGCATCAAATTCATTATATAACATGGATGGATGGAAGGGAAATTGTTGTAGGCATCAAGTCGAAAGGAACAATAAATAGATAACTTAATAAATAAGGAAGTAAGTATGATGATATCTAAAGGAGTTCGACTACAGCAAGGAGAATGTTAGTTGTACAATAGAAATCAGTCACATTTTCTCAACCATATTTGATGTCTGCATTTCTTTCTTGACATACTGTATTTTATAGAAAATGTCCCCATGTTGGGAACACTGTGACACTGTGGTGCAGAGCAATTATGTGATATAATTTTACTGCACCATCACAGTATGTGTCTTATCAAGGATTTAAAGCGCGTTTACTTTGATCACAATAAAAGAATATGTAGCGGAGACTGTGGAGCTTGTCATATTATTGGAGAATGAGAGAGCAGGTTGAATTCACCCCACTACTCTTTGGAAGTGCTCCTGTTCAACATGTAAGGAGCGGTACAGTCAGCTATTAGGTTGTCTCTACCTCTGGAAGACATCACAGGATTCACCGTTGCTCTTGCCGCCTGTGTTGGCAGACTCAGTGACACAAAGTGGGAACCACAGAAATCCCTCTTGTTGTAGCACAGTGCATCAATAGCTGGCATTGTTACTACGCAGCAAGGAGGACCTGATTATGTCTTGTGTGTGGAGGCTGCATTGATGTTTGCCTGGGTTTAGTCCAAAGACCAGCAAGCCAGGAGGACAGGAGGCTAGGAGGATAGGAGTGATGTGAATCTGAGCCATCTTGTGTGTCTGCGATCCCTGTGACAGGCTGACAACTTCTGCTGCGTGTTGCTGCTTTCTTTAAAAAAAAAAAAAGTATGCTGCGATATACTCAAGCCCCTTGTGACACAAAAAATGAGCACTTGTGAAAAAACAATGAATGACTAAATTTTAAGTTATACTGTAATCGCCCCTTGGAGGCTTATATAAATGTGTTTTGTTTTCATTTCTAAACAAGGCGCAGTATTTGCAATACATTTAATATGACATGAATGTGAAATTAGTTCCATTCACAGCATGGGTTTAGATTGATGGTACTAACAGTAAGTGGCAGTGTTTGGCCATGTTGTTATGCAGCTCATAGAGGCAGCTGATTTCCTTTAGCTGAGAAACAGACAAAGTACAAGCAGCTACAATAATCAGAACCTGGGTACCGCTATGCATTTCCAAAACCTCCCTCTCCCTAGATCTCAATAACACCTCTTTCTTTTCCTCGCACCACTCCAGGTTGTCTGGGCTGTAATAACCTGCCAAATGAGCAAAGACAGTGTGGTACCTGTGTAGGCAAAAGCAAAGAATCTCGGCACTGACAAATCATTAGGAGGCCCAAATGAGACAAACAATGAGTGGGTGCAGGGGCTGACAGTCTTAAAGCAGACCAAGGTGAGGAGATGAAAATCACCAGCAACATCAAAAAAACCCTCCTCCTCCTCACTCATCTTCGTCTAGTCACAGTGCATTATTGGTAGGGGTAATGATCAATTATAAGGTTCTTACCTGGGAAGATGAACTGCTGTTTGTATTTGAAATAACTGGAAGCTGCAGAAAGAGAGAACAGGAGAGCTGGAGTTTGATCTGAAGCTCATATCTGTTTGTTAGTTTATACTCAGATTAGTTCATAAAAGATTTATGAGACACATTCAAATTTAATTTAGTCTCTCATTATTAATTTATTTGGATTAACCATTTGACCTCTCCTTTGTACTTGGTTTTCACTTCCTTTATTTATTTAGTGACTGCATGTGCCGGCATGCCATATAGTACTATTTTCATACTGGGCTACTCGGATATGCCATAAATTTGCATGTAAGTTGTGTAGGAGTTGGTCTAGGACCGTTTTCTGACACATAAAACTGTTAGCCATGTTTTTAGCCAGGCTAGCAGCATTGCTCTTTGAACAACATTGTCCATCAGTCCACCCTTTTGTTTCAGACTGAAATATCTCAGCATCTTAACAACTGCTAGATGTATTGTCATTAGATTTTACAGACATCCATATTTCGTTTTGTTTTAGTGTACATTTGTTGTTTTACTACAATCACTGAAACAGAATGTCTTGTTTCTATTATTTTCAAGCTTGTTTTTAGATGTTTATCCAAGATGAACACTGGATATATTTATAGCCTTGCAAAATGTTAGTCAAGGCCAAAGGTTAATAGTGTCCTCTGTGGTAACCCTGTCTAACATGTAAATTCGAGTGTATTCAGGTCTTGCACATTCAAATACCTGTCAAGTTGAACTGTTTCTGTTGCCGTGCTGACTGTGGGGAGGGATGCAATGGCGAGGGGGGTGTGGCGCTGCTGGGCAGGGGAGGAGCCGGAGAGGACGGGGTGGAGGAGGTGGTGGATGAGGGGTTACTGCTGGAGTCTGGTTGGTAAGGGACTGGAATGTGATCCTGAGACAGAAAAAAAGAAAGGTCCGATGGTTTCTCCAAACTCCAGTGGTGATTTTGCAAGTTTTAGTCTCTTAATCATAGAAGATTGTGCTCTACTTTATTCTTACCCTTTTTCTGAATCATATCATCAAGTTTCTAGCATGATTTTCTACCTTCCAGGCAGCACTTCCATTAATTTCAGTACTGTATGAAAATCAGCTTGCAGAACTTGAAACTCGCCTGACAGTGGTAATCCATCACAATGAGCAATCTGCTGCCTTTACTTTTTATGCTATCATTGTGTGGAGCTTCTGCTGTGAACAGGAAACATTCCCAAAACAGTCCTGAGAGATGCATTCAAGGATGCTCCAACATCCAAGAAAACAAGGTTAGCTAAAATTGAAACAAGAAAACTACGTCACATGTATTTTTTTCATCATATTTGTGCTTTTGTTCCTTTGCATCTGCTCACTTTGAGTTTTTCCGTTGTTCACTTCTGATTTTACCAGTTCTACATTTCTGAACAAAGATATAAGTTTTACAAAGTGTATTTAGAGTATATACGCAGACCCTAATCTGGTCACTAATTACTGCCTGGAGCTCCTTGCAACTTAGTGGGAGTTATATAAAGCACTTCACTGAACTGAAATACTTGTAGACATAATCATTATGAAGCATGCACTTCTAGGACTTCCAGGGAATCTAGTCCTTTCAACTCAAATTTTCTGAACCATCCTGCAGCCCCTCAAAGATCTACACCACTGTATTCAAACCTCTGACCTTGAGTGGAAACGTTTTGAGCTGTGTCAGGTGTTAATGTTATCACTGCTTTGCACACACAGTGATCCTCTGTTCATTTATCTTTCACTGTGAAATATCTAATGTCACAACAAAGCATGTAAACATTACATGCTTATGCATCCTTAGATGGAAAATTACTCAGGGTGAAATAGTTTCGAACATTCTTGAATAAACAACATATAGCAAAGATAACATTTCTTAAAACCTCACATTCAGCACCTCCACAGGTTCCACATGACAGTTTGATAATACAAAAATTGACTAATGTATAAAAAAGCACATTTTCTTTCATGCACATTTGGTTCACAAGATTTCCATCAAAGCGTTACCAGAATGGGAATCTTGTGATAAACTTTTTCCTCTGGAACGGAACAGAAATTGTTAGATGTGCTGGTTGCAAAATATTCAGTGTATGAAAACAAATCCATCTGTGTAAACATCAGTACTGCTGAAGATATTTTCATACAGATTCATGATCCCCTAGGAAACTCTGGATGACTCATAACCATATTCCAGCCTCCAAAAATGGAAGAAATGTAATATGTAGGGCAGGTTACACATAAACTGTAATACACGGTTTATTTTTTACACCTACCTTGTTGATTTTGTTGGTTTTGGGGAGCGTCTGACTGATGTGCAGGTCTGTGTACCTGAGTGGGTTATTGATGTCACATGGCACTGATTCGGTCCGTACCAGTCGAGCTACTACAGAAATAAATTGTAAAAAATGTAATTAAAAATTAAACAGACCAAAATTGAACAATACACATTGAGGCAGAGTAGGAGAAACTCTTAATCAGGCTGTATTTCTAATGTGAAAAATGAGCAAGTTGCCCCTTCTTGAAAACCACCCATTTGTTATCGCATACAAGCACTTTGTTAAAAAGAACTTTCCTTAAGCAAACTATGTCATTAGGAACTGTCACTTTCCCTTACTAAAGCAGGGTAGAAGAAGTCTAATTAGTGTTCGTTACCTTGAGTTGTTCCTTGGTGATCTTATTTGGGGGAGAAAGGGAGGGGGAGAGGCAGAGAGAGGACAAAAGAATCTCAATTCTGACAGCAGATAATGAGAATTTTTTCAGTGCTGCCTGTGTCAGTACAAACAGTGCATGACGCAGTCACATTTGTCAAACCTAAGTGGCTTAATTAATCAGCAGATAGCTGTCTATCTGCCTAAACCTGCAGAGGCTCTTTCACTTTCTTAATAGGGACTTAAGTGAAAAAATGTCTTTTTAATAGCTCTAAGGATTCAGATACATTAAAATATATTAATAATAATAAGGGCAGAATACAGCCGGGTTTAAAATCTACTTCTGGTTCCGCAGAGTAATTATCCACACAACTCGTTTTGAAGTGATTGGCTCATTGGAGACTTTTTGCCCCTAAAAAATGACAGCGTTTCTACTGTATGCAAGCAGCTTATTACTACCCACACTTTCATTTTATTTGATTGTTAGGCAAAACCTAGCAGCCCTAGTAATTATAAGCACAAATATAAGCCAGGCATGTTGGCTGAAGAGCAACAACGTATGCACAGGGAGGAGGTGACTAAACGCAGGACTCTGACATGAAAAAGCGCCGTTTATTTTCCATTTCAAACCAATAATCAATTTTGTTTGTTTTATCCATGACCACTCTACAACTTTAACAGTGTGTTTATTATTGTAACCATGACGACAAAGGCCTGGCACACCTGCGGTTGGCATGTTCCTATAGGTCATATCAGAGGGTAAGGAACAAACCACCAACAGCATATGGGTGTTTAGGGTGCAGGCTTGGAACAGTAATGACCTTCAGTTTGGGATAGTTGGGCAAGTCACATAAAAACTGTAACCATTCTACTCATATCATTGACTGAAAAAGCACTTACATTATGTCACCAGTCAAGAGCAAAAACTGTGCTTTAACTTGTTTGCTAAATTAGTCTTTAATTTACTTTCATTATGCAGCCCAGGTTTGTCATACATGACACTTTGTGGACATTCAACGGCTAGCTTGACATTAGCCATGGTGACTTCTGTGGTTAACGCGTCATTTGACTCTGAACAAAACCAGGTGATTCCTGAACGAAGGCTTGCTAAGACGCATTTAGATCAGTCAACTTTGCTTGCACTGGGAGGCCCGTTTCTCCATAGCAGCAGGCCCCTGTGCCAAGCGAACACATATCAAGGTGCATTCAGAGGAATGCAAGGTGATTTTAGAGGAACCATGACTGCATATAAATTCATTAGAAGATGCATGTGGGCGTGATTAGACACAAATTGCCTGGGGTGATGCAAATTTAGGTGAGGGTACTCTTTCAACTTGCATGAAAAATTTATGCGTACCCTGAGGCTTTATGAACCTTCTTCATAAACTTACAGATGAGAGGAAAAGGGAGAGAGACCGAATAGAAATGACACAAAGAGCTGGGGTTTCTGCGAGCTGCCAAGCAAACACACACAGGCACACTTCCACAGTCACAAACACACCTGGTGTTTCTATTAAGCTTGCAGCTAACATCTGTATAGTCTGTAATAATGATTGTTTGGGCAACCCCTGATGGATTTTAGTGGATTTTTAATGCACTCTGCTGTCAAATATGAATGATGAAGTGACAATAAGGGTTGCTCTTACAGCACAGGCCCTAAAACCAAAATGGTGCATTGTGTACCAGCTAGGCAAATGCACTTATCTTAACAGGATAACAATGAGATCAGGGGTAAACATTAGAAATATGTAAATTGGCATGTCATAGAAATTGCTGGATGGAATAATGGAATTTCTCTCACAGTAAAACCTGCCTTAATCTTCATATAACAGCTCTATAAATTACATCTGTGCTCAGCTGGTTGTATATGAGGAGGATTACAGCTTCTTATTCCATCTCACTGACTTTCAGCAGGCAAAACGCCCACGTTCTAGACTGCACAAACAATCCAGCGGTCAAATTTGTGCAAATGACCCCAGATGAAAATTTACTTTGCCTTTGCAAACTGAACACATCAAGTTATTAACCATTCAAGCCTACATCAAACTTCTAGAGAGACTGAAAACTCCTAAAGTGCTGAAGTGACAGAGAGTGGTATTAGTAACTGTAATGTAACTGAACTCAACACTGTAAATGACATCATACTGGTCGCCACAGTGGAAAATTAAAATTACTTGAAAGGGGAAGGAAGGGAAATGTTGCATGAAAAATACCTTTGAGGGATTCTCGTCCGCCTCGCTGTATGATCAGTAAATGGCAAGGTGGGGCTTCTTTGGTGCATTTGTTGTGGCACTTCAGCCTGAGTGCATACAAAAGGACAGGGGATTTGGTTAGTGTTTGTACTGTTGCTATTATTATTTTAGTTCGTTTACACAGCGATGAAACCTATGCAAGTGGGATCATGAACATGTGATAAAACAGACGAGAGCTGCAAATTGCTAATTTATTCAAGTGAGATAAAAACAAAAGGGTTTGTAAATGTGTGCCACATAGATAAACAATCAAAATAGAAAAGGGAAAGGCCAAAGAGAAGCACAAATAAAGAAAGACACATCAGTAAATGTGTGTGAGCAGACACAAATCACGGCCACCATTGAGTGGTATGTAAAACACATAGTGTTCCAGTTTTGATACCTACTTGCAGTTTTTACATTTCAGTCCAAACAACATTCCCTTTCCACATACTATGCATGTCTGGGACATCCAGTACTTGGTGGAAAACCTGCAGGCAAAGAAGAGTGAGTGAGATAAGGACATTTTAACAAGCCACCACATCACTTTCAGCTTACTGCATATCTCTATGACAGCTAGGAGCTGTGGCTCACCGTGACAAGAGCACTGTCTCTGACCTTTTACTGTTACAACACTCTCTCATTATGACAGACAGCTTTCGCTAAAGGTGGCTTCATATTCTTTGCATAACCTTTCTGTGAGAGTAATAGGTGCCTGAAGAAGCTACTTCTGTAAATGTGTTTATCTTCCTAAGCTCACCTGTTGATTTAATTTGGGCCCATTTTATTTTCATTTTTCAGGGTGCGAATGAACATCTCACAGAGTTGCTGTGCAGCGCAAGACAAAGGCCACGAGGTTTATATCAATACAACAATAACTCAGAGTGATGGGAGCGTGGAGGCTTGTGCCACCCTTAAAGAGTCCAACACAGTCACTTCTCAACCAAACAAATCCAAAATGTGCTCTGCAGCAACAATAAATTATTGGCTATATTTACTGATGGCGACGGCTGTGTGCCAGTAGTGCGGCAGGCTGGGTAATGGCAGGTGAGTGATGTAGCTTGACAGAATCCAAATCTATTTATTGGGCCGCTGCTTTGCCTCAGCTGAATGATACAACTCCATCCAACCCCTAACAGATTGTTAGTGGACTCTGCTGTCAAAAATGAGCGATAACAATAAGAGCAGATTCAACACACAGAAACATTCTTACAGCACAGAGGAAGCCCTAAAACCAAACTGGTGCAATGTACCACAGCTGTGCAAAGGCACTTGTCCTAACAGGATAACAATGAGGTCGAGAGTAAATGTTAAATATATAGAAATTGACACGTCATAGAGATTGTTGAAGTGGAATGTCTCTTAAAACCAGCCTTAATCTTCAAATAACAGTTCTATGAATTGCTCAGTTTGGTTCCATATCATGGGGCTTACAGGTTCTCTTTCCACTTTGCTGACTTTCAGCAAGCAAAACACCCACGTTCTGGAGGTTGCTAAGATCCCACAACTAATACAATATTGTTTTACTTTTTAGATCGCTAGCATTTCAAGTCAAACAGGGTGAAAGAAAAAGACACACAAAGACAATGACGTATACAAGAACACTTTTTAATTGAAATGGAATTTTATCAAAGACGTACGAGTGGCAAACTCGAGGTACACACTCACCCAAACACTTCTTTAGGCTTACCTGTGTTTTATTGAGTTTCCCAGATCTCTTCGGGGAATCTGCGGGGACCAGCGAGGCACTGAGAGAGTGTCTGCACAGAAGGAGACAGGAGAGAGGAAAGGTCATTATGATTCTCCTTTTTTTTAGTTACATGGTAACACGGACAGAACGTGCTTCAGAATCAACTAAATGTCTTGCGTTAAACATTCATTTAGCACATATGGCCTGATTTGGTAGCAACAAATTGACATTTTGGTGACAGACTTAATCAGCTGTTTGCATTTCATGTATGCCATTAGTCATGACTCACTGTCAGCTCATCACTGTAAATGAGATGTGTGTTTCTCCATAAATATTAAAAACATCAGCATCTTATCTTTCATGCTTCAGGTCAGTGTGGACTTTTTCTGTATTAAACGTAGAGACCTCCACTGGTTTTTCTCTGGCATTGTTTTAGGAGTACATTGGGAAATCTGTGAAATATTCTTTTAAGCAGCATTTCAAAGACTGTTGGCTTCTATTGATGCTGCTTCCTGTTCCATGTTTTGTTTTGGTTCACTGTATTTATTCATCTCTAAAATGTCCAAAGTATAACAGGATATAAACTAAACAAGCCATGTGGAGTTTCTGCAGAAATTTAAAATAAAACACTAACAAGACCTTGCATGATGCAATTTCCGGAATGACCTATGACTTTGTCAGCATTTTTCAGCATTCCTGTTTTGTTATTAAATTATTGGCAGCCAGCACATCATCAGAGTGTACTATGGATATCCGCCACATCGAGCCACCTTCACAGGACATGCAGCGTAGGCTGCCATTCTCACCTGGTATTAAGAGGTGGCACATAAATGTAATGGTTTGCTCAGTCACTGCAAGCACTAATGGACCAAGCAAAAGGTTTTTGTTGTGAAACCCTTTTGAAGCGAGAGTTCCTCACAATGGAATACAGGTAGCACAAAAGTAGCCTTATCAAGAGACAGATCTCTAGACCGAAACATGCAAACGATTCAAACGGGCAGTTTGGACAGGACTTTGACATTTTAATTCTGTTTTCAGCCCAGGGCCTGACAGAGTGCATTAGAAAGAGCTGGCTTTTACTGGATGTTACCTCATATAGTCTTTATTGTTGACTGATGTAAATGCTCTGCAGGCTGAACTGTCTTTATAATGCACTTCCTTTAATTATTTGTTTATGTAGAGTATGTCCATACTGCATCTATCAGAAAATATTTTTGTGAATTTATCTGTGAAACATTAACTAACAATGTATTTTGCTTGTTTTTCCTCTTGATACAATATCTGCTCATAGCAACTCGGGCACTCACAGCAAAGTTTAGGGAACGATCATACTTGGTTTAAAGAACAAACACAATGAAACATACAGATTAGACATGTATATTCTCTGTACCATCTCTCATCTTTTGCATTTTCTTGTCACTTCCAGTTTTGATTGGAAAGTGTGCGTGTGTGTGTGCATTTGAAATGAAAAAACATACAGAGGAGAGGAGGAAAAGGGGTCTCAGGAGTCAAATATGTAATAATTGAGTAATTTCCTAAAGACCTTTATGCCAAGTTATTTACGAGTATTGTGTTGTTTTTAAGATGGAAATGAATGCTGGAAGATGGGAGAAGAGAGCACTTGAGATTTTCTGTGTGTGTGGGTGAAAGAGATCAAAAATAAATCAGGGAATTATGAGAATAAACAGTAAGCAAACAAAAAAAACAAAAAAGTTCATTCCTCAATGCATCAAACTCCTAATACCTTGAAAATGGCACTGTGGGCCAAGGTGGGCACCTGTGTATATGAGGATCACTTCAATTAAGCTGGAAGGAGAAAGAGCTCTGAGTTGGTTTCAGACAGAAATCTCACAATATTGTGCAAAAAGAATGAATCATCTATGGATTTGATGATGCCAGTTTTCATATTCACAGGTGCTTCATTGTATTTTTAGTAGAATTGATCAGAAAAGACATTAAGATTTGTTGTTGAGATGCCAATGTTCCTCCTAGATGAGTCTTGAATGACTCAGAAATTGGAGTAGTCAGATGAAACTGGTTTCAGAAAGTGGTGGCAGAAGTACTCTCACTGACTTTAACCTCATGGGGTAGAGCCAAACAGACAAATCTAAAAGAAAGAAGGAGCTCCACTCATAATCTAAAGTTGGCAGTGATGGTTTCAGTCGTACAAGCTTTTTACTGTAGATAGCTAAAATAGAAAATACCTACCGACTAATGTGGTTAGCCTGAACATAGCCTGAAGGGCAACTGCATTCAAAACTATCTTTTTTTAGTAGTAAACTATCTACGGTGTTAGTTGTCTCACATAAAATAATGTCGTGTGAGTTATAGCCCTTAACTTTAACATGTGGTGGTTTCCATTAATTATGTATTGTTTGGAGCGGCATTTGTATTCTTACTTTGCCAGAACCACAGCTATGAACCAAGGCTGGACACCACTGGGTCTATCCGAATTTAGCCTGGGGCATGTAATGTAAAATAACAACTTAGTCTGATTTTCTAAAACTATTCTACCCCTCCCAGTTGTCACATTTTTCATTTGACAAGGGCCACAATCAGTCTTACTAACTGATTACAAGGCACTGAGTAATCGTCAGTCACTGACAATGCTAATCTCATGGGCCCACTAGTGTACAGCATTTCCTGGTTTCTGAAACGCCCTTCCTCCTCCTTCAGTCTCTCTAGAGGCTTGGTGTCTTCTCTTTGCACTCCGACGCATTGCTCAGTTATACTTAATCAACTTGATAACTCAATACAGAGGGGGAAATGACATCATCTGCTTCTTGTTGGCGACTGGCAGATGACTGGACTTGTCGGCAGCGTGGTCAGGCCTGATCATCACTGTGTGTATGGTGACAATTCCAAATTATCGTATGTGTTGCCTGAGGAAGCACGCTCGCACACTTGCCAGTCATATAAAAAAGTCTGAGAAATGACAGAAATCTTCAGACATGCAGTATTTGTGTGCAGGTGTTTTGTGACAAGGGTTTAAATGTGCACCTTCTCTGTGGGAAATGGCCTTTGAAGCAGCATTTAACGGTGACGGCAGAGTTCGCCACTTCCTTGGTGGATTCACATTGCCTCCCTAACACGAGGGAATCTTAGGAAAACAACCTCAGACTCACTATTTACTTTTTGCTCTCAATTAGAACTTCAACAGCCTGGGAGCATGTTGGACTGGTGTATTTAACAAATCCATAAATAAATCTAACTTAATCAAAATATTCTGTTTGGCATTACATGAAAGAGAAACGAAACTGGTGAGTAAAGCACATGTGTGTGTGTGCATGTGGACGTACATATACATCTTATATAAGTATCCAGTCATATAAACAAGGTAAAACCATGAAAACCTTGGGATATAAAAAATCAATGCAGGTAGTTTCTAAGTGAACGTATGCATGTGTGCATACATGCCTGGTATTACTCCCACTGTCAGCCTTGCCTCCTTTGTGGGGACCATATGCTGCCCCCCACCATGTAAATCATCGAATTTTAGTGTGATGGTTAAAGGTTAGATGTTGGGTCAGGGTAAGGCAAGTAATGGTTTTGGTTAGGGTTAGGAAAATCTCCAGAAAATTTAAATCAATGTAAAATCCACATGAGAAATTAACAAAAAACATATGTCTGTGTGTGTGTGTGTGTGTGTGAGACAGATGAGCCTGAAGTAACTGAGAAACCCCAAGGCGCCAGACAACAGTGTCCTCCTCCATCTTTTCGGATTGGCCTCAGCCTAATTAAGCCGAGGCCTTCCTCCTTTTCTCTCCTCCACTGGCAAGTCACATGACAAACAGCAGGCCACAGGGTTGACTATGCACACGTGTGTGTTTGTGTGTGTGTGTGGGGGGGGGGGTCAGAGAAATGTAACTACACTGAAAAATGACAGAATATATGTTTCTGTTTGTGTGTGGGTTAAACAGAACAGGACGTGTGTGTGTGTGTGCAGAGATGAAGAAACTACTCGAGTCTAGGAGCCTATTTAGAGCCAAATATAGTTTAGTTGACGTTAGACTGAGATGCTTCTCCAAGTGATTGACTGAGCGCTAATTCCCCATGGAGGAGAAATTTTTCCTGTGGGTAAAAGGGAAAAGAGTGGCGTGTATGACAGATAAAAAAAGAACAAGATTCAGACGGTACAACAAGAAAAAACACAAATTCTATTCATTCTGAGTGTTAGCACTGTCACCAAGTCATTTCACCCACGCCGACTCTCATCATGATCAGAATCATAAAGGTCCGACAGCTCAACGGGCAGAGTGCAGCAGTTTGGTGGTTTGGATAAAAGCTTCAATCAAACCAACGCCATAAGTGGCACAATATCATTAAGAGATAATAAATAGCGTAAGATGGGAATACCAAACAAATTCAGCACAAAACAACACAAGAGTGAGAAGCTGAAGCCTGAGACTGACTCCATGCTGCAGACTGTGCAGAGCAGCAGAAGTGAACAGGACTGTACAAAACGTGTGGGCGTTTGCTGCACAACATGCTGCATTATAGCATGAGTGTTATATGAGCAATGTGAGCTCCTGCACAATTGTTCTCAAACCTTGTTTTTAATGAGACTTTTTACAGGGTGAGTAAAGACAACCGAACAAGTACTTGTTTGCAGCGGCAGCAAGAAATGAACTAGGAGAAGGGTGGAAATAGACTGGAGAGTTTTCTTCCCTGTCCCTGTGTGAGAAAAAAAACTCGGATGAACAAAAAAACAAAGCCAGGTTCCACAGTTGCTATGGCAACAGCTACACGCCAATCAGCCTTTTTGCAGAATATTGTGCTGTCATCTTTGACGAGCAAGAGCACACACACATTTACAAGTAACTTGCATACACAAAATCCCTGTGATATCTGACAATAGCAATCATAGTGCTGGAAAAATAGCAATTACCTTGGATGAAATGAGTATCTCCACACAACTTTATACAAAGTGGGAGTTTTTTAAGAGTGGCAGTTAAAGTGTGCCAGTGAGACAGAGGGGAGGAGGGACAGGAGGACAGATGATGCCTGGAGGCCTAATGGCTCGGTAGAGATTTCCTCAGTCGGAGAACTCAAATGGCTTGGAGCACGCAG